CATCCGACCACTCTATCAAAAGTATACCACCTCTCCCTGCCATTCACATGTTTTATGCCTATTTTCTATTTTTGCAGCACTTAGCGTCACCTGAAATTACCTAAGTAACCCTGTGGGAGCTTGCCAGTCTAGTTTCTCCTGTATACAGTGCCTGTACACAACAGTCCTGGCTTAACCTGCTATGCCAGCCTCTCATAGCCTCTTTTATGGGGGGTATTTGAGGAAAATTTCTCTCATACACCTGGTAATCCTTGGTTGTATGTTCTTCCTCAGCCTGCAGATTCTCTGCTGTTTACTTTTGTCCTAGGTTGTTTTTGGAGGCTGTGGTTAGACACAGGGTATGCTACCTGGTGGGGCACTCAGGTTCGCCTAGGGCTGTGGGGACCCCAGACTCTCCAGCTCTACTCCCTGCATTCACTGGTTTAGCAGATGCTGCTTCACACAGAGCTAGATGATTGGCGGGACTTTGGTGAAGGGCCAGCTGGTACACGTCACAAACATGGGGGCAGTGCCTTATAAATGTGTTTGCTTAGAGCCATCCATTCCTTCAATGTAAAATCCAAATGTCTGTGGAAATGGGGTCCAGGAATCTGATCCTGGGGTTGGGTCTCTAGGGGAGGTCACACTGTAACAAGCACTTGTAAAAAGCTCCCCAAGATTCTCATGCAGAATGGGGTTTGAGAACCAGTGTTCTTCCCAGGCCCTACTCCTTTCTCTTTGTTCTCATTGATCTGAGAAAAGGCTCTGCCTATCACATGCCCACCATCACCACTTCCACTGGTTGAGTCTTCCACAGAGCTGCTGTTTTTACTATCCTTTCTATGTGTTATCTTTCAGGCACTCCTAAAATTTTTACCATCTATACCAGCCTTTCTTATTAGCCTCATTTAACTATCTTTATCCTGTTATATCTATTTGGAAGCTATATATATATATATATATATATATATATAGAGAGAGAGAGAGAGAGAGAGAGAGAGAGAGACTTCATTTAAAAGTAACAAAACTGCTTATAAAAGCCTTCACAGTTTTCATTGTTTCAGGGAGGCCTCCCTCCTTAATTGAGATAGATATTATTGATATGTAAAAATAAAGTTTGTAGAAAATGTCATCACCAGCTTTTCACTAATGCTCTGCCTGTTTGGCAAACACGACTGGTTACCTTCTGGACATTCACCCAGCTTTCTTCCTGGTTGACAGGGTCCTGATTTTCATTTGCTCTCGGGATAAATCCTGTTTGATCTAAGCTAATTATGGCAGTCTGGTCCCTCTGTCAGGGGTTCACCTAGGAGAGGTTATGGAAGGGGTTCTAACCAAAGACATGCCAAGAAGGCAGGGTGGTGGCTTTCTGGGAATTTTTTTTCCTTCACTTCTAAGAACACCAGAAAAACAGGACCTTTTAACCTTGCAGTGGCCTCACTTGTATATGGTAGCTGGAACTGCAGCCATCAAACGATCACCAGAACCTGGCTTTGGGTTGAGGCCAATGCTGAGGGTGGCAGGATGCAGACAGAAAGAAAATCAAGGTCCTTAATGATGTTGCTGAGTCTCTGGATCAACCTAGCCTGATACTGCCCTATCTCTGTGACCTGTAGCCCAAAGTATTCTATGGGATCAAATCTCTATTCTCCAGTATATAGTAATGCTCTTATGAACCATGGTAAATATTTTCTTAAAAATCTTAGGGGGCTGGAGCTGTGGTGTAGTGGGTAAAACCACTGCCTGCAGTGCTGGCACCCTGTAAAGGTGCCCATTTTAAGTCCCAGCCACTCCATTTCCAATCCAGCTCCCTGCTAATGTGCCTGGGAAAGCAGTGGAAGATGGTCCAAGTCCTTGGGCCCCTGCACCCATGTGAGAGAACCAGAAGAGGCTCTGGGCTCCTGGCTTTGGACTGGCCCAGCTCCAGCCCTTGTAGCTATGTGGGGAGTGAACCAGCGGATAGAAGACCTCTCCCTGTGCTTCTGCCTCTATGTAACTCTGACTTTCAAATAAATAAATAAATCTTTTAAAAAAACTTAGGAATAAAGAACCCCAATTTCATCTACTTATAAGCTACCTCTTCCCTTTACCTTTTTTCAATTTTTATTTATATTTTTAATTTTTGACAGGCAGAGTGGACAGTGAGAGAGATAGAAAGGTCTTCCTTTTGCCGTTGGTTCACCCTCCAATGGCTGCCGCGGCCAGCGTGCTGCGGCCGGTGTATTGCACTGATCCAAAGCCAGGAGCCAGGTGCTTCTCCTGGTCTCCCATGGGGGTGCAGGGCCCAAGCACTTGGGCCATCCTCCACTGCCTTCCCGGGCCACAGCAGAGAGCTGGCCTGGAAGAGGGGCAACCGGAACAGAACCCGGCGCCCCGACCGGGACTAGAACCCGGTATGCCGGCGCCACAGGAGGAGGATTAGCTTATTGAGCCGCGGCGCAGGCCCCTCTTCCCTTTACATCAAATCCATAAAATTGATAACCAAATATTTAAAAATCTTTAAACAAAAAAGTATATGAATTTGGATAGGTGAAAAATACTCTGATTCCCAGCCCTGCAAAGGAGGTGAGGATTAAAAATGTAAAGAAACTTGAATTCACAGCATCTTCCAATTTCTGGAGGTCTAAAGAGGTTTAGGAGTACACAGTAAATTTTTACTTTATTAACACTTTTTTTTTAACGAGTTATTTTGACTTCAACCTTAATTGATCATTTAAAAAAATGACCAAGCTACAGCGGGCTGGCGCTGTGGCTCATTTGGTTAATCCTCCACCTGTGGTACCAGCATCCCATATGGGCTCCGGGTTCCAGTCTTGGTTGCTCCTCTTCCAGTCCAGCTCTGTGCTATGGCCCGGGAGTGCAGTGGAGGATGGCCCAAGTGCTTGGGCCCTGCACCCCCATGGGAGACCAGGAGAAGCACCTGGCTCCTGGCTTTGGATCAGCGTAACTCCGGCCGTAGCAGCCATTTGGGGGGTGAACCAACGGAAGGAAGACCTTTCTCTCTGTCTCTCTCTCTCACTATCTCTCTACTTGTCAAATAAAAGAAAAATGACCAAGCTACAAATTTGGCTCTAACTTATAAATAAAATGGTACTTATAAGTTACTGGGGGCCTCCTGACTTCTCAGCACCCTGAAGCTTGAGGAGCCCCAGGCTCTGATCCAAAACGTCCACCCTCCCCAACTTAATCCTAGCATGGAAGCAGAGTGCCTGGAGTGCAGATGGAAGAGTGAAATCTGGGTGGCATACAGGAAGGTCTCTAACACATGGAGCCATTTAAGTGGCTCCACTCGTATCTTTTATAGTTCACATTGTCTAAAAACAGATACTCTGTCCATTTTTTAATTTTCAGAAGATCTATGGGCAGGAAGCGCCAGTTCTATCAATGGATACAAGAGCACCAGCATGTAACTGCACAGTGATTTCCTAACAGGTAACAGTTTGATGGACTTTAGGGAGGTGAGGTATCTCTCCCTCTAACCTCAACCAACCCTGACTCTCACCTTCCTCAGCACTCACAACACAAGTTACAATATAAATATAGTTAACACAAAATACCACAGAACATTTCATATGAAATGGGCAGACTCCTTGAATATACAGACTTCTGGGCAAACTTACTCTATTTAAAAAATCAATTCACGCCACAACCAATAAGCTTTATTGTCTGTCTTCAGTATGCTTATTTCTATGTTTTGCTTCTCTCTAGGCCTCCACTCTATGTGTTGAGTCTTGGCATGTCCATGAATTTCCTCTTAGCTTAGCAGGGTAGTGGTACCACCTCCCTGTTTCTGAACTGTGCCGTCTACACTTCCTGAGCTCCAAGAAGATGTCACACAGTAACTGTGGCCTCACTAAATGGGTCTCCACATGAGACGCCACTTGCCAAAGTTCTCTCTGATGTTATGAGAGGAAGGGGCGTGACAATACCCCCCACCCCGCCCCACCAACCACCATCTTGTTTCTTTTTCGTATGTTCATTCCCAGAAAGCTCCTTCCTAGCTTCAGGGAGACCCTCAGGAAGGAGCCCCTATTTACTCACCCTCCATACCAGCCATCAAACAGACAGCTACACTACTGTACTTACTGTGCTACTAGCTACAGTGTTACAAACCACAAACATTCGCTTTTCCTTATTTTTAAAAGCAAACTATTTTGCAACAAATAACTCAAGTATATATTAATTTGATAGAGCATGTAAGGAATTTGCTCTCCTTTTATTGTTCAGTGTTTATTATTAAACACATTGTTCTTAGGGGTAGCCTCAGACAATACAAACATTTGGTTTCCTAGCATTCTAAATATTTACATTTCTTATGAGGATCATCCTTCTAAAATACAGGAACTAAAAACCACAGCTACCAGATTATATACCAGAAAATAAAAGAACTTACTTTTCAAATTATAATTCTATTTTAGTGTGTTAATTATAGATGTACTATATTTATACTGTGATGAAAGTTTTGAAATTTCTCAATTGAAATTAATATTTAAAAGGATAGTGTTCTGGACATTCTACGCAGTCATTTTATTATTATTTGTTTCCCAGTATTTTCTTTCTCATTACATAGCCTAAGTATGCTATCACTTAAGTGGTACTCAACTCTCTTTTTAAACCTAAAATTTATAATTTTAAGAAATACCAACATTGTGGACAGAAATAAAGACAAAGATGAAAGTTCAGAGAACATTTCACGTTAAGTTACTGCATTTGAACAACTAGGAAAACCTTTACTATGTGGATAGGAAAGTTTCTATAGTTGATCTCACCCAAAAGGCCGAGAAGCAATTGGTGTGTTTCTTATTGAGGGAAGGAAATCTTAATGTTTTTAAAAGTATTGAGAGCTCCTTCAATATATAACCTAGGTCAGCAGAATCGCCCAGGGAAGCAGTGGCAGAGGGCATTACTCCCACACAACTGATTCACTGCTAAAGGAGTCCTGAGAACACAGCTGGGTCTGCATCTTTGTGACACATCAACAGGGCACTGTAATCTTACAAGCAGCTTAATGTTCATCTTACATGAGTAGTTCTTTACAGTTGTCCAGCTCTGTCACTGCCCTCTGAAGCTTTAAGCCAAGCCCCTCTACTTGACATTGCAAATCTGAAATGACAAAATGTATTAATCTGATTAGCACATTTTAAATGCCCGGATACTTTCATGAAATAAATCACATATTTTTAAAGCTGTTGCTCAGTTCCTGAAGAATAATGCAGCTGTTGAATCCCCTTTGCCTGCATCATCATGTGTAACTTGTCATTGACTGCTCAGGTCTCCCTGAGCAGAATCAATAGGTTTTGATACATTTGTTACATTCCTTTGGCCCCTACCCATTATTATTACCCCTACCATTACCTAATTTTCAAACAGCTAAATTGTACTCGTATTTTTCAAAGGGTATTTATGTAGCCAACACACAAGTAAATTTCTGATTACATGGCTCACTTCTAAAACACCTGATTGGCTGACCTTGCCCTTGTGGTCTGGAACCCAGAAGCACTGTTAAGTCCCCCTCGTAGAACTGACCATGTGCCAGGAACATGGTCAAGAGGGTGTTAACTCTGGGTAGCATCTAAAAGGCATTTTGGTAACTCTCAAAGGTAGGAGAATACAAGCAAGAAATTGGCCTCCCCAGAGTCTTGCACTGGGGATTTTAAGCATATTTGAGGAAGATTATTCAAGCAGCCATATCCAGCACGTGTGTGGATGCAGAACCGAAACTAAAGCAGGAAGAACAATTGGTCTGAATGATCTAAGCCCTGCTATTAGCCAGTGGTGAGCACTGTGACCATAGACACAGGGATAGCCCTTGCTGGTACGCTTTTTGGGACAGCTTAAGATGGAAAACACATTTACACAGCTTTCTACAGAAAAACTAATTCAAAAAATTGGAATTATAAAATATCTGTGTTCTATCTTCTCAGGTGTTGTAGGAATATATTTTTAAAATTAAGCATTAAAATCTTTATGCACCCATACAATTACATAAAACTTCTGTGAGACTCTTCAAATTGCCTTAAGAGTCAGTTTCTTAAATCAGAAAATGCATGCACTCTAAACAAATATTTTAATTAGAATTTATGAGACATTTATATAAATCTGTTTATCCAGTACTTTCATATATATTTAAAAATTAAATTGTTAAAAACAATATTTGTCATGTTTTGAAATATGAATACATTGTGAAATGGCTAAATGGAGCTAATTAAAATCTGCATTATCTCACATATTTGTTTTGTAATGAGAACATTTAAAATTTACTGATATTTTCAAGAATACATTAATTATAGTCACCATTTTATACATACAGTAGATCAACTGATTTCACCTATCCAACTGGAATTTTGTATTCTTTGGCCAATACTTCCTCATATGACATTATGCTGTTTTATCTCTCACACTGCCATGTAGGTGTTAATAGCCCCATTTTTCAGATGAGGGAAAAATGGGATCCGCTCTGATTCTCTGGGCCAATGTCTTATAATCAGTACATGAATTAGCCAGCAATCAAAGTGCTTTTAAACTTTCCTGGGAGACTGACCCCTCGGTACTAGATTGAATGTAGTCTTACTTGACAGATAATACTTGTGAGGTATGTCCTTTCAATTTATCATGTGACAGCACGTGGGAGAAAAGAGAAAACTGCGTACACATGGAAAATTTACTTCTCAGCTGAACCTTTTGAGAAAGGAGTGACTCCTAGATGTTCTGTAACGTGTTGCTTTGGAAATAAGCTCAAGAGGGCCTGCAGAGGTGTTCTACTCAGACAGGAACAGCCAAGAGAGTTTCACTCAGAGCTGAAGGATGACGAGGGGAGGCAAGAGAGTTTACTGATGGTGTACTGTGTCCCGACAGTGTGTGGGGGCTTTCTCCTGCATCTTTTCACTGCTACTCACAAGGACCAAAGAAAACACATTGATACTGTTATGTATTTCTGGTAGGCTGTCACAAAACACACCAAACACTGGAGTAAGGGAAAGGGTTTATTGGGGAAAACCAGCAGGCTGGAGTGAAGGGGTGAAGAAGGAAAAGAGAGAGAAGGAGAGTGTAAGAGAGAGAGAGAGGAGAGGAGAGGAGAGCACGGAGAAGAAAGTGAGAGGAGAGCAGACGAGAGGAGTCCAGAGAGCCTCAGGAGCAGGCCCTTTTAAAACTGTGCCGGAGGGCGGGCAGGGAAGCAGGAGCAGCGAATCCCATTAGGGTGGGGGTGGAGCTCGACAACAGCTGTTGGGCCATGTGGCCACCTGGCTTTCAGCAATGGCAGCGGGAGCCAGGGCATAGAATTTACATCAAGGTGTAGATCGCGCCATAAATAAAACTGCGCCATTTTCCTAACACATACTCCATAATTTTTCTAGTTTATTTTTTTAAAAAGATTTATTTATTTATTTGAAAGTCAGAGTTACACAGAGAGGTCTTCCATCTGCTGGTTCACTGCCCATTTGGCCACAACGGTCGGAGCCAATCTGAAGCCAGGATCCAGGAGCTTCTTCTGGGTCTCCCATGCGGGTGCAGCAGCCCAAGGATTTGGACCATCTTCTACTGCTTTCCCAGGCCATAGCAGAGAGCTGGATCAGAAGTAGAGCAGCCAGAACTCAAACCAGCGCCCATATGGGATGCTGGCACTGCAGACCAGGGCTTTAACCTGCTGCGTTACAGCACTGACCCCACCTCCATCTTTACAGCCGAAGAATCTACGAATCAGAGTAGTTAATTAACCTATCATTTACTGTTGAACACAGTAAGGATTAGAGCAATTAGTTACCATATCAAAGATCATACAGCTAGAAATAACCTTGTGATTCAAACTCAGGTCTGCCTGATCCCTCTATTCTTATGTCTTTTCACACTGACTCCTGGAATTTAAAAGCTGCAAAGGAACATGATATATGTGACAATAAAATTTATAGTTAGCATGGCTATTACTGTATTCCCAGAATAGTTAAGGCAACAGATAAGTATTGTTTTATGAGAAATATTGTACTGTAGTAAACTGGCAGAATTTCTAACTCCAAAGAATGGTTTAGATTTAACTTTTGAAAGTTTAAAAATGAATATATTATAATAAGACAAATACGGGATCATTGTGACTGATTTTATGAGACTGACACTAGAGAGAACAATTAAATGCTTTAATACATTAAATGTTTCTTGATGCTTTGTCAGGATATAACAGTGGACTAAATGAAGCATAGGTCTGAGCCCATGTTATAAATTTTACATTATTACTTTTATATGCAGCTATAGTTAAAAGGAATAAGTGATTATCTTAAGTAAACCTCAAAGAATTGGTGCTTGATAAATAAATTTCATGCAATAAATTCTCAATTACCTGAGAATTAGTCTAAGAGTAAATAGCACACTGGCACCAATTCAAAGCCCGTTTTTATAGCACTGCAAAGTATTCCGAGGCTTACATTTGATTATGCTTGTGTGTGACAGTTACAGAACTTACTAGGTTTAAAGCAAAATAAACTAGGCAATCATGACCCAACTCAAGAAGGAAGGCAAAACTGTTCCCTTTTCAGATTTATTCTCTCTACCAAACCACATCAATCTTCCCGCGGCCCCCCTTTTTACATAATACAGATAGCTTAGCCTTTAAATCAAGTACCCCAGAGTGGCTGGCTGGCTAAGTGGTTAAGATGTCATTGCTTGGGGTCCTGTTTCAGAGTGGCTGGTTGAAGTCCTGGCTTTGCTTCTGATCCAACTTTCTGCTAATGTGCACCCTGGGAGGCAGCAGACGGAGCTCCTGACCCCTGGCTCCTGGCTCCTGGCTCCTGGCTTCGGCCTGGTACAATCCCAGTTTTTGCAGGCATTTAAGGGTAGGAACCAGCAGATGAGAAACCTCTCTGAGTCTCCCTGCCTTTCAAAACAATGATAATTTAAAATAATAAATAAATCCAGTACCCAGTGATTAGTACCCCAGATTATTTCCTGTGTGTTTTCCGGCAACTCTGACTAAGAACTGGGAAAGTAAATATATGTTGTACTTTAAAGACAGGAACCTCTGAAGGCTGTTATAGGAAGTAAACAAACAGAATGATTACAAGGAATATTAACAAAGAAACCATTTTATATAGAGAAGACACCATACAGAATTGAGAAAAAAAAGATTTACTATGCATAATAGATAATGTAAGAAGCCCATCAATGTATAATTAGGAATTGATTAATCTATTCTCATGGCTATTTTTGTTTTTTACTTTTGGTTATATTTTCTATAAACTAGAAGTGCTGGGAATCATTTTTAAAAATCAGAGGGCTTATCTTTGCTGTTCTGAATGAGGCATAAGCATCCTACTGGTTCATTATAGGTTCTGGTAGACTAGTAGGGTCCTTTTGTTTTCAGAAGCAGAGTGCCCAGTTCCTGTCCTTAATGAATAAAGGAACAGAGTTAGGATAAGCAGCAGAGATTAAGCCACCTGCACAAAACAGCTCCTTCAGTTTCTGAGGCAAGGAGTTCTTAAATAAGTGTATTGTTCCGTGCAGTACTTCTCTGTAGTTAAATAAATTCAACTTCAATTTTCTGTCATTCAGCATGACATTGGATTATGAGGCAAAAGGCCCTGAATGCTCAAAAAGAAAGGAAGCATTGGCTTTAAACACCATGCAGATGTAAGGCGGAACCCATGGAAACAATCCAAAATTTACAACAGCATATTCTACTATGATGTGACTGCGTTCTTGCAGATATTAAATAAGCAGCACATGATTTTAAATGAACAAGACAAAAAAGAGCTCTTAGCCTCTCTTCATACACAACCAGCTGCATGCTGGATAGCGTTACACAGGCATCAGATTTGGGGTAATTACTCATTTAAGAGAACCCTGTTATTCTGAAGGGTTTCTAGAAACAACAAATACAGAAGTATTCAGATTTAACTATTTTGTATGATGATATAAATCTTTATAGTCATTGGGAAGTGTATTAAGTTGATGTTTGAGAAAATAACAAATAAAACCTTTATTGTGGAAAAATATTTCAAGCTTAGAATTTCCTGTACAGAAAGAGCAGCAAAAAATTTAAAATCTGGTTCAAAGTACTATATGGAGGAAAATGATTCTGGGCTCAAGTAGTAGAATTAGAAGAACAAGCAAGCAGA